AAATCTTGTCCTGGCGTACATAGCATTAGATCTGCCAGCGTCATTTAATCAGAAGTCATTTCGTTCGCTGGTAAATCCCATCAGTAGAAAAACTTAACCGGCATTCACCGCACGCCACCGGCCCCGCAGCTCCTCCATCGCCAGCCCCGCCACCGTCAGCTCTTCCCCTAGTTCAGTCAGTACGCGGCATTGCAGCGGCGTAAGGAACACGTACCGCTGTTGTCCAGGAACTCCTCCCGCCCCAGGCGCCACCAATACGTGAACATGTGCCCGTCGACGACGAGCTCCTGCAGGCGGGGACAGCGCGTGCAGAGCGCCATGCGCGCGTGGCGAAGCAGCTCCGCGCTCGTATTGTGTGGCATCTGTGAGGCATCGGCGTCACGGTCCTCGGTCTCGGATTCGCTCTCGAATGACTTAAAGTCGTCGCTGGAGCCAGAAGTGGCTGAGAGCCCGTCGAAGTCGTACGCGAAGACCCAGCGGATGGCGAGGCGTGTAAGCTGCGCCGGCAACGCCGCGGTACTGGCTAGGCTTTTGAAAGAGTCGAAGGGCTGCACAGTAAAGTGAACGGTGAGCATCTTAAGAGATGCTATGCGTACAAGGGAATTAGCGTGGAGCCTCTCGCGGTCCTTGATCTTGCATGAGAGGCGCAGGTCGGCGGTCTCGAGGGCAGGGAAGGCGTCAAATATCGCGTTGAGCTGTGCATACGGGATGTCCATCATGTGCACCTCAAACGATAACCGCAGAGCGAGCGACGTGATTGTGTTTGCTTGTATATTGCGCGTCGCCGAGATGAAGTCCCTCAAGGCAAGGCATGCGATGCGCAGATGTCTCAGACCCACACTCGTATTGGCGAGGAGCATCGGAATCAATGTGATACAGTCGTCGGTAAGCTCAAGTTTTGAAAGCCGACGGCAGTGCGATCGTGGCGTGGGAGGTTGCTGAGGCTGGTTCTTTGGAAATGCCGTGTATCGTGACTTGCAGCCGCTGAAGGGCGGAGAAGCGCTGTAAAAATCCCAGAACTTGGCGTCGGTTTGTCGGGGACAGCAGTGCGAGTTGTAGTGCATGAACGCTAGGGTAGTGACCGTCAAGCGCAGTTCGTGAACCAGTACTGAAAACGGAGAGGGAGCGCAGAGAAGTGGGATGAAGAAGCTTCATCCATGTGGAAAGGGAAGTTTGGCTCGACTTGGTGACTTTGACTGTGTGATCGGTGAAGTCGAAGTGGCGAACGACCAGGGTATGAGTAAGCTCCTCGGGTAGGGCCGCCGTCTCGGGGAGTACGATAACATCGTGAACGCGTAGCGTATCCAAGTGGGGAAGGCTCGCGAGATGTCGCCATTCCAGGTACATGTGCAGAAGCTCCAGGCATTGTAGGCCAGTGAAGCAGGGGAGACGAGAAAAGAGTATATCGAGGAGGGTGTATGGGGTAACTGATTCTTGAAGTAGCCGGACCGACTCCTCGTTGAAGTCCCATACTGTGAGAGGCTGGACGACGCATTTGCGCAGGTGTTGTGCGACATCTATATCGGGGGACGTCCATCGGTCGAGGCGGGTCATCCATCTCTCCATCAATTCGGGAGGGGCCGACAGGAGGCGCAGTCGACGGGTCATGTACGAGTCGACCACGTATGGGTGAATGAGGAAAGTGGCGAATCGCAGGCGTCGAGACATATCGGCAAAGCTGTGATTGACAAGGGCAAGGCTGCGAAGCATACCATCAGAGAAATACGAGAAAACCTCCAGCCAGAGTTCGAGTGGGAGCTCCGTTCGTGCCATGCTGCGCAGAGGGCGAGCAGCGATGATGGTTGTCAGGAGCAAAAGGGAGGAGGCGCCGTGACATGTGAAAAATGATATCGTGACTGTGGGAAACCGGCGAAGAAGCATGATATGAATCGCTTCACGTTGTTCTTGTCCACCATCTCGAATCATCGCCGATCCGCGGTACTATTGTCGCCCCGAACGTGTTGACCCTTGAAGAAGATGCCCATCAACGACTCCCCTTTCAACGACATTCTGAATACCAACACCGTACCCACCGACGACGAATGCGCTGCCATACGCACGTTTCTCACGCCACACAGCGCGAAACTTGGCGAGCTCGAAGCGAACGTCGCCCGTCTCCGAGGGATGCTGGACCTTGCCATCGCAGAACGTGACGAGCTGGGCAGCTTCATTGCCGCGCATAAGGCCCTCGTGTCACCTATGCGCCGGGTTCCTGAAGACGTCCTGCGGCTCATCTTCATCAAGACACTCCCAGAGGTTCGGGACACGGCGATGCACCCGAGCGAGGGCCCGCTGTTGCTTTTGCGGGTGTGCAGGTACTGGAGGAACTTGGTCATGGCGACTCCGCAGCTGTGGTCGTCCATTCATGTCGTTGTCCCACAGCGTCCGCCAAGTGATCGCGATCCACGGGTCTAGTGCTGGCCAGAATTATATAATTTATATTATGCTTGATTAAATATCGAATATATTCAGAATATTATGAATATATTATGCACTTTGTGGATCACTTGAATATGATTATGTTTGAATATATTATATTATATTATGACTATACTATATTATAGTCACAGAATATTCAACTATAGTAAGGTAGATGATTACAGCTATTTTCTCAGTCTATGTACTCAGTCATAGCACTAATCTTAGTCTGAGTTAGCCCTACTTCTGATAAATGTCACATATTATCTATTATATATGGTGATTCATATGGTGATTCATACATTACCCTTAGTAGGAACAAATGTCAGGAGTGATCACTTTGGGTTGACCTATTAAACATACTGACCTATTTCGATCAATTCAGCGGGCCTGTGACCCGTGACCGTTTGGCCGAAATGTTCAATTCGGCCGCAGGCCGAATTTCGCGTGACCTATTGCCTAATTAGGAAATTCGGCGCGCCACAGGCGCCGAAAATTTGAAAATCATCCTAATTGGGACACTTTGGGACCAAAAGATTTGGCTGTGACCCGTGACCTGCCAAAATATTTCAGCCAAAAAATCCCATGTGACCATGACCGGCCTAATTGAAGGAAATGGGTCAGTAGTGTAGGACCTCTGATCAAGTGTCTACTGGCTAACCTAAGACTAGTGACAATGCCCCTGATTGTATTTTGAGAGTCCTATGTAACCCAGGGAGGCCCAAAAGGAAGTTGCACTGACAATCCAGCATGTATTTTATGTTTTTGATTCCTTTTTCTAGCAGCAAATATGTCAAACATATCAAGAGATATGCATAGTAGATTATAGTTGAATATATTCATAACATATTCATATTTCACAGCTGAATATGATTATATTATACTACAAATATATTATTGGGTTGGAGTTCTGAATATGATATGATTATAATATATTATGCCCATAAAATAATATAATTATATTTGGCCAGCACTACACGGGTCAACCAGTTGCTGTCACAGGTGGAATGACCACGATGAACAAGCCTTGGCACAGCTACAGCCTCACGACGTGCCCCAGCTGCACACTCTCCAACTCCTCGCTTTCGGCAACGAAATGCTGCTTCCACTTGGCTACATCGAGCTTGCGGCACCTAGTTACCCAGGGAAGTTTCCCGCGGTTTCCTGCCAACGTTCCCTGGAATAATCTTCTGTCCCTCAATATCCGGGCCATCTTCCATACGACTACGGACTTCACAACCCAGGTTACCCAGATTGAACACATCGAGTTTCCTTTCCCTTTCCTGCGGCACTGCGTCTTGCTAGAGGAGCTTATCGTAAACATCAGCGGCTACGAGCTGCTCATTACCTCGGGTATTGAGGCGATAGAGTTGCCTAAGTTGACAAATCTCGAAATCGGTATGTTCGACGAAGGAGTCGACGTATCGCCTGGCATTGCAATCATCGGGGCTCCGAGTCTGCATACCCTGAAGTAGTGTTCGTCACGGGCCACCCGCGGGTAAATCCGGGGTGGCCCGTACCCGTCCCCGCCGATGGCCCGGGCCCGTGGCGGCGGGTGCGGGTACCCGCGCTTTGGCGGGCGGGCCTCGGGTAGCCCGTTTGCCCAAGGCCCGCGCGATCTGATCATCGGCGGATCTCGCCCGATACAACTGCCAAATGCGAGTCGATGTCGAGTGATCGTCCGACAACGAGGTCTGGGCTGTCCGGACCTTGGCCAGACCGCCGTTCAAGTGACGCGACAGCTTCCGGCCTTGACCGCCGACCACCGGTACGCCGGTCAGCCGGGCCGGGCGGGCCAAGGTGCGGGCCAGCGGGTTCAAGGCACCAGGCCCGTACCCGTACCCGCACCGGCCCGTCCTCGCGGCCCGTCACGGGTCACGCCACCCGTGACGAACACTACCCTGAAGATCACTCAAGGAATGTTTGCCGCCCCCATTCTGGGCCACATGGGCCACATCCGTTGTCTCGTTCTGTCGGTCAATGACATAACCACCGATGCGCTCCTCACCGCCCTTCGTCTTGTCCCCGCGCTTGAACGACTCCGGCTGATCGGCGAGCCCACCCCGCACCGCTAATCCCGCACGGGCTCCCGGCTTTGGCTTCGTGCCCCCGACGCGAGATCCCGAATATCTCGTCAATCTCCTTCCGGGGCCTGCCGCCCCCACGCTCTGCCCAGCGCTGCGGCACCTCGAGTTGCTCAATGTCCAACACACGCCAGACGAGCTGCTTGTGCGCCTGATCCGCGCCCGCGCCGCCTGCCTGCCGCCCGACTCAGACTTCGCCCGCCTGACCGACTTTAGCTGCTCCCTGCTCCGCCCGCCGTTGCTTGACATTCCAGCGGCCCTTGCGGACTGTCCAGGGGTGACAATCCGCATCGCCTACCGCCACGCGCCGCTCCGTCTGGGATACTCCCTACTCGAAGGAACCGAGCGCGACCCTGATATCGTGACTAGCGAGGGGGAGGCATGGTTGAATGAGCTGTGAGTAAGTACTTATCTTCAATTCCTCCGATTTCATGTCCAAAATAATGTAACCAATTGTCATCACATTTAGTTTCCTGACACGCTGTACATGTTCCCTTACTAATGACGCCAGATAGTTGGATCAGAATTGAAAAAGTCAGTTTGTGCTGCCAAAAAAGGTCAGCACGCGAAGTCCAAAGCAAAATAAAGCAACACACCACCGCGGAAGTTGTCAGGAACCATAGTCAAGTTGGCACCATCAAGTTGAATCGCAGCCTTTGGAATCATAAGCACACAGATCAGTGTGGATTACGCTGGCAAGATACCTTATTCTTGGGTGTCCATTGCGTCCACGCCGGTTTGGGGACCCCGAGCCCATCGTTCGGGGTCAGACTTGTAGCAAAAGAGATCCAATAGTCAGTCATAATCCGGCTAAGTGCGACTGCTGTCGGGGCAGGATCAGCAGGGGCGCCGTAAACCCAGAGTATCTCGGAGCCGTGTGGAACTGGAGAATTCAGGCTGCAAATCAGGCATGCGTGGATTAACGCACCGCCAAAAGAGGGAGGATCCTCCGGCTGGGGTTCTGTGAAGTGGTACACGAAGGTGGGAACCTCGTGGGATGCAGCGGCGGCCACCCATTGTCGACGAGGAGCGAGGAAATCGACGTCGCCAACTGTGCAATTCTGAGCGGAGGGCGCCGAGAGCAGAGAGAACATACTGATTGCGGCAGCACGCTTGAATTGGGGGCTGAGGCCAAATGTCTGGTTGCCTGTTCCAAAGGGGGAGCCTATAGATCATGACTTGAGACTCGAGAAAGATCTGAATACATTGCCATACCAAGAGATGGGTTGTCTGGGTATAGCTCCAGTACTTTGGCGATGGACGAGTTAAGGACGGCCGGTGCAGCCGAGGGTGTGAACAGCGATGAGATCTCCGCTTGGAGTTCCTCCGGCGAGAGAAGATTTGTTGGGGTAAAGATAGTACCTTGGAAGTCGTGTCAATGTTGGTTATCAACAGTATGAAGCATAGGTACCTTCATCCAAATTCGTTCCTGCCATGAAAGGGAGCTTCGCGAAATGTCCCCTCTTGAACAACACAGATGGCAAGTCGGGTATGAGCCCGGTGGGGCCATCGAGCACGGGGTCCCAAGGAAACTCCTCGTCTGCGAGCGCTATCGATGCATTGAACCCCGCCAGGATCTCGTTTGAGCTCGCTTTGCGCAAGCACGAAAAGGTCGATCGGGATTTCGTCAGAGCGGCACAGGACGGCACACCGCCAACGAAGTTCTGCCAGCTGATCTCACGTCTTTCCGGCGTGAAAAGTGCCGAAGTGGATGGACTCCCCGATTCGAAGATCTAAAATTGGAAAACAATTCTCAGCGTTAATGGATGATGTAAGGGGAGCATGTGATGTGACAGCTGTGACTGATCACGTGACTGGTCCGTGCGCAGATAGCCCTGTACTTAAGTAGTTGGCTGTGGGGCTGTTCCCCCGGCTTTGGTATCAACTAGGCACCTGGACCCTCATCCCCTGACAGCATACCAAAGCCTCTACATCGACTCTGGCACTCTTCTAGCCCCAGTTGATCCTCTCTATCTCCTATATTCGTCCTCACCCTACTGTGCTTGCCTTCTCTCCTCCAATGACGACTCCTGGCGTCCCTGTCGACCTGTATTCGTACTGCCTGCTCCTGCAGAGCGAAATTACTCGCCTCACCGACCGTCTCGACCGTCTTGAGTATGGTGCGCCTGCTCCACCCCCTGCTCCCCCTTCCCCTGGTCCTACATTCCACGGTGTCTGGGACGGCAGTCGCTGGGTTCTTCCAACAATCCCGGCCCCTACCCCTGCCGTCATCGCTGCGGCCCACACTTCCATACCACTTGCCGAAACCTTCCCCCCTACTGCGCCCGACACTGTCACGCGCTTCTCTTGTACGCTTGTGGTGCCTGACTCGGCTGTCGGGCATATCGTGGGTCGTGGCGGCAAGGGTCTCCACCAAGCTCATGACACTTCTGGTGCTCAGTTGCGCGCGTACTCTGATCGCGCTGCGCCTGGCGAGCGCCGGGTCTCTATCCGGGGAACCGACCAGCAAATCGGTGAAGCGCTTATTGCGCTTGGGAAACGGTTCATGCGTAAGCGTGTCCGTGCGAAGAAGCAACGTCAGCCACCGTCTGCTGAGGGACCTGCTCCCCCTCCTCCTGTCGCGCCTGTGCCTGCGTCCCACGCCACTAAGATGGATGTCGACCGTGCTCCGCACCGCTCGTCCACTGTGCCCCGTGGCCAGTCTCAGGTGCCCCGCGCCCCCACTGCCGCACGTCCTGCCGCTCATCCGAGGGCTTCGACTGCCGCCGGCGGGCCAGCTGGGCATTCGCGACTGTCTTCTCCCCTCTTCCCGTCTACCCTACCCCCGTCAGCCCGCCGCCGCCACTACCCAACCTATACGGGCCGCGGCTTCCACTCTCCCTACTCCCCAGCCTAACCCTACTCCCTTCGCACCCTCGGTGGCTATGGGAACTCCGTCGACGTTTACCCGAGTCTCGCATACCCAAGGCGCCTCTCCCATGCGGATGGATACCAGTGTGGCTTCCACTCCCATGCAGATTGACGCGGTAGCGCACGGTCGGCAGCGCAATCGACAGACGGCCCAACGAGGGGGCGTACCTGCGCAATCATCGCGTGTTATAGGCGACAACCTCTATTTCCCTGGCGACCCCGAATACGAGTTTGCAGAACCCTACACTCCGCCTATCCGTCGAGGCGACGGATCTTGAGGAGGGGTTGGTGTAAGGGGAGCATGTGATGTGACAGCTGTGACTGATCACGTGACTGGTCCGTGCGCAGATAGCCCTGTACTTAAGTAGTTGGCTGTGGGGCTGTTCCCCCGGCTTTGGTATCAACTAGGCACCTGGACCCTCATCCCCTGACAGATGAGATTAGATTATTTGACATACCGCTGCTCGAGCAAGCCGTGTAATGGGCGAGTTGAGGAACAGAAGAGCGGTCATAATTGCCCCGGCACTCTCGCCAAACACCATCACCTTGGATTTGTCGCCGCCGAACGTGCCGATGTTGGCTTGCACCCACTCGAGCGCCGCGAGCTGATCCTTCATTCCGAGATTGAGAGCTCCGCGGGTGTCCGCCTCATGGCCTTGTGGGAAGCCGAGTGGCCCGAGACGGTAATTGAAGTTGACATAGATGACGGGCGTGCCCTGCGCGCCAGAAATAGTTCGGCGAAGAAACAGCTGCGTGATTGAGCACATACCCGCAGAACACTTTGGGCCACGATTGCGCTCCCATTGTAGATGCTCGATTGGCCTTCTTGAAAGCCGCCACCGTAGCTGACACACGAATTATTAGCAAGCAGAGATATCGAATTATGAGCGAGCAACCCACGTCCAAAACATCTACATTCTGTCAATTTACGTTGGGGAGACACAAGTCAAACACATACCACGGGTAGACGAGCATGCGACGGCGTGCCCGCCGGACGGAGGACATTGATTGTCAAGCAGTCCTCTGACATGGCACCTTGCGCCGTACCCTGACACAGGTAGATTAGAGCCGCAATAGCAATGTGTCCCTATACGCACAGCCTGAAGACACGCAGGTCCGAATTTCGACGCGTCGAAGGTCTTTTCCGAGAGCGTCGTTTTGAGTATGGGCGGAAGGAATCGCTTCTCCGCGAGAGGAGGCTCCGCAAAAGGGATACCTATGAGAAATTAATTGTGAGCGTGCGGTGCAGCTGGGGAGGACGCACCACCAAACAACTCCTGGCCAAAGGTGGGGATGTCTAGGCCAGTGAGCGTCGTTCGTCCTAACTGCAGGGTTGCGCCATGCGCAACAGCAACGAGCACGGCGAGAGCTGCGAGTGGAAGAGCCGGGTGGTGGAAGGAAACCATAGCCGGTGGAGCGCTCTCACCCGTAGTGGCCCTTTTTAAATGCTCTATGTCATTCAGTCCGAAGCGTGAGCCTGAGATGACCTACGTGGGATAACAAGGCATCTTCAGGGCAGTTGTGCATCCACGAGCCATCATCTTCTGCTCCCAGTCGATCAGCTGCCTGAAAACGTGCACTGGCGGCTCATGACACCTTGTAGATGTTCCCGCACCGCACAAGTTAAAAAAGGAACAGATGAAGTCCAATTCATGCCGCGATGGGAGAGGGAAAGCAATGGATATGTGCTATAGCAAGCGAGTCGAATCGATAGGAAGCAGTAACCGGAGGATGAGAAAATGAGGGGTATAGTATATATCAGCTGGAAAATTGCCACCACGCAGCCCTTCGAAGCCTCCGACATGGATGGGCGGCGAATGTGGTAATTTGATGGGAGGAATGCAAAACGCTGCTTGAGTCGGCGGGGTAGAAGAGGGAGAGGACGCGGTGGTGGTGCTAGCGCTAGTGACAATTCATATAGCGCTGCTCGGCGCTGAATCCCATGGATCGCGAACAGCGGCATAGAATGGCTAAGGGAGGGAACGGCGTCATGACCGCATCGCACAAACAAAAGAATGGCAGAAAAGTTGCAATAGCGTTGGGGGAGGAAGACGCTCAAGGGCTGGGGGGCTACCGGACGAGGTATGGCTCTGGACAGGGGGTGCGTGGGAGGCTAAGTGGTGGTATGCATGCTGAATGGATGGAGGGTGGCGATGGCTCCCATGGGCTCACTGTACGGAAGAGTGAATACCATAGTGGGAGGAAGCTGAGTAGAAAACGCACATAAAGAGAGCCCGCTTCACCACTCTTCCCCGCCTCCTCGGCCCACTCATGAACCCTTCCGACTCCTCAAGCGGCGAAATAAGAGCGAATGTCGATGGGCTAAGGCCATCTCGACAGCAACCCTGTGCGTTGTGAGGAACATGTAGATATGGGACCAAGTACCAACCTTTTGCTCGTTGCCAAGCCCGCATCGCAGACGGAGCGGGGATCGATGGCCGTGGAGGGAAAAGAGAAAAAAGTAAGACACGGGCGATCATCATTCGTGACGTCTTCTCTCAGGCTGACATCGAGTTCCCAACTTTTATGAGTCAATTTAGTGCTCGTGCTAGCTCGCTCAACCTACGCCTTGACTCGGCGGCTCGACTCTTGCTCCCTTCGTCCGATGTGGAGTGTCCCAAATTGTTAGGCACCACCTGCTGTGACCGACCCGCACAAATCCCTCCTGCCGGTAACTTTAAGTATACCCGGTCACTCTATATAACAGTGGTTAAGTATTTGTCAAGTATGCGCAGCCGCTCAAGTGACACATCCCTCGCGGACCTGCGAATAGCTGTATACTAGTAGAAAGTTGGCGCCAGTCAGATAGAAAGCACTTGAAGGTCTACTCAGAGTGCCAACAGAGTGCGTCTTCGCCCCGGCGACCGGTGCGGATCTTCGCCCGACCCGGTTCCCTCCGAGCCGATCAACCAATGGGCTGCGAGTAACGACAGCGTCACGGCCCCACGACAGCCTGCGGCTTTCCCGCTTACAGCCTTGCCTCTCCCGCACGGACTGGATTAGCACGCCCGTGGAATCTCCCCACACTGCGGAGCGCATCCCTCCGCATAAAACAGCTGCCGACAAGGTACTTTTCCCGCTGGCACGTCGCAGACACCGCCGACAAGAATGGCCACAGGAATCGAGCTGAAGGACCGTGCGCCGTCGCATACGGACTCGTCGCCATCGCGCGGGAAGGCACCAGCGTATACCATGGCCGAAACGGATCGGAATGGCTTCGGACACGGTGCGTTTCTGTCGTTACCCAGGCCAGGCTGGCGCTCACTGGTTCTCCCGCGCAGCAGAGTCGAGCAGTCGTCCGGCACCACGGGACTCTGGTGGGGCACACCTAATCAAGGTGCAGCCGCTCAAAAGGGAGGAGATGCAGGTGTGCTCGTCGCAGCGGGCTTTACAGGAACTGACCCATTTAGCCCTCATATGCACAAGACCTCGGCGTCGACACGGTCACCCACGGCCTCTACGGCTCGCTGCTTCAATGGGCGGGGTCGATCTTTGGCGTGTGCGGCATGGTGCCGTGCTGCCCCGTCCCCAATCCGTTCCGCGAGGTCCAGCAGGGCAAGTCGAAGCGAGACTGTATTGCGAAGGGTGCTCACGGGATCGATGACAGGCTCTGTGGGGCTTGTATCGCGGTTCGGACAGTTCTACAAGGTGTGCGATCTGTTGCGCTCTCCATGTCCAACTGCTCAATCATACTATAGTCTGTCGACCCCGGACTTGTCCAGCTTAACATATGCACGGAGAGCTTACAGGTGGTCGATGTAAAGATCCAAATCATACCCATTGGTCGCCAAAGTGTCATGTCCGTGCCCTGTTCCTTCCGTGTCTCCCACTCAATCCGCATTCAGCACTCGAGACAACGTAAATGTTGAAATGTACGTGTAGCTGGTGCTGGTGTCGACTGGCTGATACTCTCCAGCGACTCCGTGGTGTACTACCAAATCAACAACCCGTACCGCTCCGCCTTCGGCATTTCTGACTTGCGCAAGGCGCTAATCGAGCGCGCACAGACCACCCTCCGGCAGGTTGTCGGTGCGCGGGTGGTCCAGTCCGTCGTGACCGAGCGCGAGGCGATCGCCTTTGAGATCGCCGAAATCGTCGCAGACGTCGCCGAAAAATGGGGCGTGCACATCGAGGGCATCCTCATCAAGGACATCATCTTCTCGCCCGAGGTCGCCGCGAGCCTCAGCAGCGCCGCGCAGCAGAAGCGCATCGGCGAGAGCAAGGTCATCGCGGCAAGAGCGGAGGTGGACGCCGCGAAGCTGATGCGCCAGGCGGCGGACATCCTGGCGAGCCCGGCGGCGATGCAGATTCGGCAACTCGAGGCGTGTACGTTGTGGCTTATGTTCTGTTTGTTTATGATGTTGACCGTGACGCCGACAGTGCAATCGATGGCGAAGACCGCACAGGCGAAGACTATCTTCGTGCCGATGCAGCTCCAGAGCGATGTCATCTCCAAGCTCAATGTCGATGGGTCCACCGCTGGCCGAGGCGACGGCGGGGAGGGCACATCCGGTCAACTGTAGTTCTCATTCTCAGTCTGATGCTACGTATCACATGCTCAACCTTTCTTTGCTACTGCTGTGTACTTATACTTGTAAAACATGATCTCGCGGTTTCTTTTCAAACTTGGGCCCGGCGTACGGGCAAATCACAGGATGCACTCAGCCGCTCACGAGCTTGAAGGCTTAAATACATCAGTAAAATAACATAAAAGTCTTTTAGGTCTTTTAGGTCTTTGGTGAAGACCAAAAAGACCTCAAAGACTTCAAAGACTCAAAAGACCTGAGGTCTTTGTGAGACAGCGTCCTGTATGGCGCTCGAAACGGGGAAAAAATACCCCCAGGAGAGAAACCTGTATCCGCGGACTTACCTGTCGCAATCCGAGAACTTTTGTCATTTTATATGACAATGTCTTGGAAGACTGAGTCCCGAGAACTTGAACCTTCCGACAACTTGGCATTCCGAGACATGGGAGTGACTCCAGACAACTTGTCTTCCGACAACTCAGCAATGTTAAAGATGTGATGCCCAATATTAATTGCAATATATTATTAAAACAATCAGGGAGGAATCTACCTCAGGCTAGTCTTCATGTGCAGTGTACTAGTAGCACTCAGATTGGGCAACAAATAACTAGCATAATGCATAATTATCCACATTACCTTTAGTAATAAATTAGTATAAAATTTATCTGTACAATCTATTGATAGACTGATATTTATATCACAACTAGACAGGGGCCCTAGGGCTGGGGCTATGCCCCAGCTTTGAAAGTGAATTTTCAATGAAAAAAAATCCCACTAATTACAGAGCTAGTCTTCACTGTAGTACTGTAGTAATTAGACCACAAGTTCACATAATGTGTAATTGGGCCAAGAAAACATAGTGTTAAAATTCAGCTACAATGATAAGAAAATTTCTCAGCTCTCTCAGGCATGGAAGAACTTAAAATTGATGAACCTATGGTCTAATTACTACAGTAGTAGCACTTAGATTTGGCAACAAATCAATGGTAATGCATAATTATCCACATTACCTTTAGTAATCATAAATTAGTATAAGACATTTATGGACTGGTATTTCCATTGCAATTAATACATAATTTTCCATGCTACCAGTATAAAATGTTTACAACTTAAAACAATTTATACTAATATTTCTTTTTGTGTAGTCACCCACTTTAAGCACCTGTAACTCCCTGTATCCTTCATGAACACCCTCCCATTCATCTGGTAGATTTCCCCTCTATAGTATTGGACCTAGCAACTTTTTTCTTCTTCAAGTTCTGCTTCTTCTTCCCTTCAACTGCCAAATGCACTCTTCCAAAAAAGGCAAATCACCAATAAATGCCAGAAAATCTAAGAATGCAAAAGGTTTTTTAAGCTGGAAACATTGTATGCTGGTAGCAGGGATAATGATGTATTGTTCTGGGTCATTAGAGCCAAATCCACCGAGAAATGCTAAGTATGCTATTCATTTATTGTCAGATCCATCAGAATAGTAGCAGACTATACTTGCTATTCATGAATGTGTCTTTGATCGATGTATAAGTATACTTCCTTAATAAAACTTATAGTGATGGCCAGGTCCGGTTCGGAATTTCGGTTCGAACCCGAACTGGACCGGACTGAACGCGCGTTCGGCGTTCAGGTTCGGCCAAGGCCGTTTCCGAACCGAACCTGGCCCTCAGTTCGGCCAGGTTCAGCCGTTTTCGGTCCAAAAACGCCGGTTCGGGGCCGGTTCGAACCGACGTTCGGCGTTCACGTTCGGCAAAATCCCGTTTTGAACCGAACCGGCGGTCCGGCGTTCGGCCGAAAAGGGCCAAGAACCGGACCGAACCGGACTTGGCCATCACTAAAAACTTATATTTCTTGTACAAACTTATCTTATGATGTACTGTACTCCTAGTTTGCAGAGAATGACACAATGCCATTAATAGTGCTGAGTTGTCGGGAGCGATGAGTTGTCGGGATTGACAAGTTCTCGGGAGTGACAAGTTGTCGGTGAATGACATAGCAAGACTCCGGGGCAAAAATAGCCCACATTTCTCGCAAATGTCAAAGGGGTGCAGAGTTTCTCCTCGGAGACCAGTCTTTCTTCTCGGGGTATTTTTTCCCCGTTTCGAGCGCCATAGTCCTGGTCTTTGGAAAGACCTTGGGGTCTGTGGAAAGACCTGAGGGTTTTTGTAAAGACTACCAAAAAGACTATCAAAGATGCTCTAGTAATATTCAGGATGCAATAAATGAAAGAAATTGAATTCATAACTGACTGTTCTACATACATAGCATACTACATACTACAACACATGCTCATCGCCCTGCTAACTTCAAGTTGCCTGCCCACCCCGCGCCGAGTTTCACGCCAATTCCCACCAAACTGCAGGGTCGAGCGCGAAAGACGTGTCGCTCCCGACGCTGAAAGTTTCGGCCCGGACGGGCGAGCGGTTGTCTCGCACCGCCCGCGCGCCACTTCCTCCCCACCAACAGGCCGGACGATGCCAGTCGTAGCCCGTTCGGCCCTGGATTGCACCCGCGGGGCCAGAACTTCATGCCCCGTCCCGCCCATCGCATCGGCCGCTGGGACCGCGGGAGGTGGTACACCTGGGGGACGCGGCGCCGCGAAACCTTCGACAAGGAGGGACGCAAGAGGGACGTGGCGGTGGCGTAGTGGTGTGTCATACCTGAAAGCACACGCGCCGAGCGAATTGAGGTCAGAATCAAGTTGAATTCACTCACTAGACAAAAAAGATTAATCTCAAAAAAGACCAAAGACTGTGGAAAAAGACCAAAGATCAGGCAACAAAGACCAAAGACCAGAAAGACTTTTATGCTATTTTACTGATGAGTAGTACTAGGCTTTAAGTAAAGTACACCGATAAATATTTTTCAGCCCTGAGTGAGGCTGGTGAGGCGGGCGCTGCTCCAGGTTTGTCTGTATGGCAATGATCAGTCGCTGCCCTTTCGGCAAAGGGGAGAGGACTCACCCCGAAGGCGCGGTGCGGCAGTCGGAAGCGGCGGCGCTGCGGAGAGCGACCGAGCCGCTGCAGCCGCCGCTGGAGTGCAACTCGATGCCGTGGACGGCCTCGGCGCCGTAGAAGCCGTACCATGTGACGCTCTGGGCGGCGCGGCTCGGCGCGATGCACTGGTTGGCGCGGATGGTCGATTGAAGACCGAGGGACTCGCCTGAGCAGTTGGGGCCCGCGTACCACTGGACAAAGGCCTGCGCGTTGGCAGACGCGGCAACGACGAGGGTGACGAAAGCGGCGGTGAATTGCATTGTGCTGACGAAAGCACGTAAGTAAGTATGCGCGGACCGGGCGGAGAGCTGCTGGCGCCTGACCTATGTGGGTGTGTGAAGAAGCGAAGACTGCTGAATACGCCGCGTCTTTCCAGCGCCGTTTTATGAACCAAGCATGCGGGAGCGGTTCCGAGATCGTGTCAGCATGCGTATGTACACTCTGATTTCACGCAAGGATCTTCAGCCGAGCGATTCCTTCGGCGCAGCACCAGCGCGGCGCGCCAGACTTCGAGGACACGGGAGAAAGGCCCCTGAATGTCTCCTGTTCATGTAGACCCCACGGTTGTGTGTCCGGAAGCCACTTTACTCCGCGGTCACAGTCGCCCACAGAGCACTGGCCCTAGCGAAGCCAAGTCGAATGCAAGCCCGGCAGTGAGCTCTTCCCGCTGCTCGCCGCATGAGCCACATGGCTTCCGAAGCCGCGCCGCGCTGAAGATGTTACATCTGAAACGTGCGACCGGTGCAGCTGGAGAAGACGAAGAAGCATCGCTGAGTCATTCTGCGGCCCGCGTTCGTGATCAAGCATGCGCGCATGACGCATGCTTCATCATAAACGACACGTCAGCATCACTGATGCATGGCCCATCCACGATAACTGTTTCGGAATTGGTTGCGAGCGCAGCGAGCAATCCCTAGACTAACACGTGCGAGGAAAGAGGATCAAATCTGAAGCCAAACAAGTACAAAGTGTAACACTCACCCCTGCTTTCAGAACTTGGAGAGAAAATCCATTCAAATTCAATCATTTTCCTGCTCCTCAATCCACACTTTTAAATGTGAGTTGGCCTGACCACTATCTGTCGTTTTGTGCTCCCCTTGAAGATTTTGGACCATTGTAGCTGAAAGTAGTCATTTGGAGTATGTCAGACTCTGTAATTCTCTACATGTCAGCAGCCCCTAACAATCACCTGGTGATTTCTGCGTGAGCATTCCCCGCGTTGCAGCGGATCCTAGTATACACCCTGAGGATTCAACTTGAAAATAAAAATTGATGAGGCAAGGGGGTCCCAAGATCCTTATCACGGACATGGGGTAGGGGGGGGGGGTCCCAGGAGGTGGTGAAAAAAACTTTTGCTATACAAAAGTTTGGGGGGGGTTCTGGCAGGCCTGAGGTTGGCTTTGTACTACATTTGTAGTATTTTAGCATGGAATACTATGTGGTCATATAATATGCTTACTACCTTCCTATGGGAAGGCCTACAACACCTTGGTTAGGCTGCACTGTGACTACAGTGTGACTGGTGTCATGAATATGTCATTGCTCATTGATTACAAATAGCCATGGATGGTCCACTAGTGACTCTATAAGGCCTCAAGACCTATATATTGCTTATAAGTAAGAGGAAATTACTGAATGTGACTCAAAATGTGTATTTTATCGGTACTTTTGATCGCATCAACAGGTCACATGATGTGCGATCATGGGAATATATTGCCCGATATGGTAAGGGGGGGAGGGGGGGGGGTCCCAGATGGCCTGAAAGTGATGAGGGTAATGATTAGGGGAGTTCACGCTACACCACAAACCCCGAGGGATGTCATGATGTCATCCAGAAGAAATGTTACAGGCAAGGGGCGGGCACAAAAAAAATCCTAAACGTTGGAGGGGCAACCCCGGAGGCCTGAGATCAAGGTGCTAGCAGGGGAGGATCCAAAGCATGAACATTGGTAAGCAAATACAAATGAAGCTGGAGGGGAGGATCCAAAGAGAAGAAACTCTAAGGGT